TCTGACATGTTGTTGGGTTATAGGAGGATTAAGTCATTTTAGTTAATTTTATCATGCCAACAAATCTTTTTGATTGTAGATCTAAATTGAAATCTCTCCATGGTAATTCACTGGTTCCTACACATAAATCAATAGTAACAGTGACTGACACACAGCACGAACCAGGTTAGGTGAGGAAATATAAAGGACAATGAAAAATACACTTTGTTTTAATTTTGATTTTCCCCAAGTAGTACAGACATTATAGCGTAAGAACTCAACTAAAAGCGCAAAGTTTATAACAAAAAAAAAATCAGTCCTGGCCCCCCCTTCCCCACCCCAGATTCCCAATCCAAAAGCCAACCGTTTCTTCTAGTTACTTCTTGCGCAGACCTCCCAGGTTTCATCAGCATGCTACCCGCCATCTGTGACGCTTTCACCCTCCACCCCCCACCGCCGAAGGCAAGGATCCCGGGGTCTCGCCTCACTCCGTGCACACACTGCACCAGCTCCCATCGTCTCAGTGTCGTTTGGACCCATTTTTTTAAAGGTCATTCTGCATGTTTTTATGACTATGTGACTTTAAATGTGGTTCATTGCTAAACCAAACAGTGATTGATTTCTGTAACGTTTTTCTTCTGGGAAAGCATAATTGCCTTTTCCCCTTCAATTTGCTGGATGACAGGCCCACCCAAGTCCATTCCCCTTCATCCAGCTTGACATGGTCACGTGGTGGGGAGGCCTGCCCCCGGCTGCTGGGGGCGATCTCCTCCCCTCCTTTTCTGAATGAGCTGTCCCACACTGACTTCTTGCTTGTCTGCTCTCATTTGGGAGGTGTATATCACCCAGAAGCGTCTTGAGAAAGCCTGCCTCAGTAGATCAGGGGCACCCCAAGGCAGAGGCCCTTGCCTCTTCTCCCCCGTGTCTGCACTCATTCCCTGGAGCTTCAGAATCTCTTCCAGCCACTAGACCATCAGCCCGTACCCTTCGATTCCCGACCTCTCCTCTGGCCGCAGACCCGAACACCCACCTCCCCCTGGCACGTATCCACATGGGGGTCCAGTGCCCACTCCCAAAGCTGCTCTCCTCCCATCTTCCCCTTCTTAGAAGCAGGGACACCAGTCACACAGTGTAGTTCAGGCGGGAGATCTTGGGGCATCCGTGATCCCCTTTCTCTCCCACCTCACAGCAGCAAATCCTATCAGCTCCACCTTCAAACTGTGTCAGGCACGAGAACCCCCAACCTCACCCACCCCTGCTGCCAGGGCCTGAGCAGGAGCCATGCTCATCCCACGCCAGCCACACTCTGGGGCTTGGTGAACCTTCTGAGCATATCCCCATTATTTCCCTCTGCCTGCATCACTCCCTCACAAAACACTCATGGGTCTCCTTCCCTCGCTTTAGCGTTCTGTCCAAATGGTATGTCTTTGGAGAGGCCTGTCCTGTCCACTCTCCGTAATTCCTTATCTCCATCCATACTGTCCTTTCCCACATAGCATTTCATGACCTTAAGCCACATCTTTAGTTGTATACATTTAGGGTCTGTCTTCCCATGACCCTGTAACCTCCAGGAGGTTGGGATGTCACCTGTCCGGGGTCGTGTGACTCCGGTGCTGAAGGGAGTGCTCAGGAAATACCTGTTGATGAATGCGTGATGTGAATTCTAATTAACATTTCTAGAAAGGATCACTGAAACTCAAGTTGAAACCACTGATCCGACAGGCTGCATGGATACAGGATAGAATTAGTGGGCTGAAATGTTGACAATAGAAATTTTACCACGATGAAGCACAAAAGGACAAAAGTTGGAAATTTTGAAAAAAAAAGTTAATTTACATAAAAGATAAATATATTCATATAAAGAAATAGTAGGGTTTTTGTTTTTGCTTTTTACTGTGGTAAAACACTTACCTGACAAAACCTACTTCTTTAACCACTTTTAAGTGTACGATTCAGGAACATTAATCACCCTTTCATGTGCTTAGTGACTATTTGCATATTTGCTTTGGAAAAATGTCTGTTCCAGTCCTTTGCCCATTATTTACTTGGTTGTTTCGGTTTTGTTACTGAGTTGCAGTTCTTCATGTATTCTGGATATTAAGCTTGCATCAGATACACAGTTTGCAAATATTAGGGAATTTGGGAGTGGAGAGGGAGAAGCGGGGTCACCCAAGTGGTCAGGTGTCTCCAGGGCTTTCTGAGAAGCCCTAAGCCTAACCCATGGGGACAGCCTAATTCCTGCTTGTGTGGCTAGTTGCTGTGTGATGCAGCTGGAGGTATGATTATTCGGGATGGATGACTTTTGAAATGGATGCTTCTGCAATCTGAGGCTGAGTGTTAGGCACTCATGTTGTAGTATGTACAACCTATATTGTATATATAGGTATATAATATTGGCTATGAGATATATTATACAATATTCTATATAGTATTATACAATAACTATATAATATTATGCAATATTAGTTGAGTGGTCGAATCAGGAAGAGAGGGAGGTTGTCGTGTAATTCAGGATCCCAAGATTAGATCATCCTGGACTATCTTCAGGGGCCTAAATCTGATGACAAGTGTCCTTATAGGAAACACAGAGGAGAGACACGTAGAGAAAGAGGAGAAGACCCTGTGAAGGTGGAAGCAGAGACGGGAGCGATGAAGCCACAAGCCAAGGGACCCACGGAGCCACCAGAACTAGAAGGGGGAGCAAGGGAAGTCTCTCTCCCGGAGTCTTCAGAGGGAATGCAGCCCTGCGGACCTCTGGATTTTGAACTTCTGACTTGCAGAACTCTAAGAGACTAAATTCTCTTGTCTTAAGCAACCCAATGTACGGTAATCTGTTATGGCCACCCTAGGAAACGCCTACAGATTTTGGTCCTGGGAAGCCGAGTGCTTCCGTACCAAATGCCCCCCACTGTGGAAGTGGCTTTTGAATTAGGTGATTGGGTGGAAGTTGGGAGAATTTTGAGCTTCACGAGAGATAAAACCTGGACTTTCTGAAGAGACTATTAGGGACCTTAAAGTCCCTGGACTTTCTGAAGAGACTATTAGGGACTTTAAAGTCCCTATTTTTAGGGACTTTAAAGGCAGCCTGGTGAGGGCTCAGAAGGAAATGAAGAGCACGGGAGAGGAGGTTGTCCTCTCAGAATGCACAGCTCGTCAAAAACAGCATGTTATTCAATATGGATGTGACAGACGTGTGCTGAGGGCTCAGAAGGAGATGGGCAACGTCTTATTGGGGACTGGAGGGAAGGTGATGCTTGCGCTGTGCTGGCAAAGAACTTGGCTGAATTGTGTCCTGCAGTCCTGGGGAAAGTAGAACCTGTCGGTGATGAACTTGAATAATCAGCTGAGATTTCTAAGCAAAGCGTGGAAGGTATGGCAGGTCCCTTCCTGCTGATTGTAGTGAAATGGGAGAAGAAAGACGTTAAGTTGAAGCAGGTATGGTTAAGCAAAAACAAAATCAGCCTGATGACTCAGGAGAATCTTGGCTTATCCATATGGCAAGGGACGAAAAATGAGTAGCTTCATTGTTGAGGGAGTGCCCTCGACAGACAGAGACAGACAGATGTGCAGACATCCTGGTCAGAGTGTCCAGGATGTGGCTGGACAACGTTCTGCTGAAGATCCCAGCAGGGGCCTGAAGGGTCCACTGAAATACCTCCGCAGAGCCAGGAAAGAACATGTGACAGAGTAGTTAAAGAGCTAAGTGTGCACAGCAATAGGCTGACGCAAGCTCGGGAGGATAGCACAGATCCCGCGGAGGTGCCCTTTGCAAGCAGGATCTGAATCCAGAGGCAGTCAGGGACAGTGTGACACGTGACATGAAGTCCAAAAGGTAGGTGTGGCAGAGACAACATAAACAGCCAGAAAGAAACCAGGCAAAAATGTTACCTATGAAACGGGAAAAATATGAGATACTCAGCATGTAGAAAGAGCTCCTGTAAATCCGTAAGAAGATGAAAATCACCAGAAGAAAAATGGGCAAAGAATGTAAATTGGTGATTCCTGGAAGTGCTGCACATGGCGAAAGAAGTCGCTAAATGTCAGGAACAACCAGAAGCATCAAGAGGAGAAGTCAGCGAGGCGTCCTTTAAAGGCCACCAAGCTGGGGAAAGTTCCGGAAAGATGGAGTATACCTGTAGGTGAGCCATAGCCTGGCTGCCCTTCCCGCGGCATGAAGGGCCGCACCGCCCCGAGGCTGCCAGCCCTACTGGCCCAGGAGCACTGTGTGTGGCGGCCGAGGTCAGTGTGAAGGCAGGAGCCCCGCACGCGATTGCGGACCGAGGGGCCGCGGGGGACAGCCCGGTGCGTGCGTGGGGTAGTCCGTGCACTGGAACGGGACGCATGAGGGACGCGGCACTCCGAGCAGGCCCTGCCCGGGATCAGACACGCGCGGCTGAGGGGCCAGCGCAGGAAGGCCTGCGGGGCGATCACGGACACGTCCGGCCGCAGACCAGGCCCGCTGGCTTGAAGCATCTGCTGCGAGCGCCGCGCACCGCGTCCGCAGTAGTCCGCGAAAGTTCGGGAAGCCGCACCGCACAGGCAGGAACCCGCGGAGGTCGCGGAAGCCGCACACCGCACTGCTGGAGAACCTCGCCCCGCCAGCGTTGGTCCGAGCAGAAACCTGCAAATGCTACAGGAGACCCGCTGTTTCTGGGCATTTCTATAATTTTTATTTAGGAAAGTGCCTTCGTGGGTTCCTTCTGTCATGGAGAAGGGAAGAGCAGGCCTGCGAGTGCAGGGCAGGCATTTACTGTTAGCCTCCCTCCCGGGAGCCCGGAACCGGTCCTGCACCGCAGGGCCACAGAAGATCTGCTCCCGCCTCTCCTGGCTGCCAGGAAGACCCCAAGGCCTACACCCACCGCCTCTGCGAACGGCCGCCCGCTTTCCTCCAGCGCGCAGGCGCCGGGAGTCGGAGTCCCCCGCCCGCCAGCCCCGCCCCAGGCTTTATGTCACTGGCCTGCGCGGCGCGCCGCGTGACGTGGCTACGACCCGCCTTCCTGAAGGCCGCGCCAGTAGCTGACCATGGCGACCGCCGCGGAGCTGTGGGTTCTGGTGGAGATGGTCCAGGCGCTTTACAAGGTGAGCTTGAGCGCTCGAGCGACTTGCGACCACACCGGGCCCTGCGGGGTGCGACGGCTCCTGGGCGAGGCCGGTTGCTCGCGCCCCGACCCCGGCGTCTCCAGCTGGAGGCGCTCGCGGGGAGACTCCGGCGGAGCGGGAACCGAGGGTCTCCTTCGGCGCTGGGAGGGAAACAGGCCGGGGGCGCAGGGGCGAGGGTGCTCTTGACGCTCCCGAGCGGGCACGGGTGGCGAATCGGGGTGGCGAAGCTGCGGTGGGAGAGCTCGGTCCGTCGGCCTCAGGCAATTGGGGTGCTCGGGAGGCGGAGCAGACAGGAGGACGGAACCCAGTACGGGAGTTTGCTTCTGTCGGCGCGCGGGGTCCCGGAAGCTGAGGGGAGGGGAATATGAAGCCGTCGCCGTTCTCCCCCGTGTGTCCACTTTCAGTCCGGTAAACGTGCCCTTCCTGCGTGTTCCTAGACGCGGAGCCTCCGCTCGCGTTCCCGAACGGCCGGCCGCTTCAGGTGCGTTGGGGGGCTCGGCAGCAGAACCGCGGTCTGAGAGCGAGCGTTCGCCCCGCCGGCGTCCGCGGAGCTCCTCCGCCCGGGCCGGGAGGACTTTCCGCACGTTCTGTCCCAGCGGGGTCTGTGCGGTGGCCACCCGCCAGCCACTCGGCTAGAAGTGAAGGGCCCGTAACTTGGGATAGTGTTTACACAGCCTCATGCGCCTGGTGGCTGTGCGGCGGGACGGCGCCGCTTCAGTGCGAGGGAGGGCGCCGGGAAGGAACGGCGGGAATTCCCGTGCCAGTGCCCTGAATCCCGGGTTTCCTCGTACAGTTCTGTAAAAGCTGATGTAGCTACTTGCTGGCGGGGGAGACCGCTGTCTTCCCTGCGAGACTTCTCAGAACTATTGAAAAACAGTTGACAGACCAGATGTGATGTACGCGATGGCCAGTACGATCCGCATTATAGTAACAGAGATAAAAGCCACTGACGTGGAAGTTTTAAAAAAGTTTTAAAAAAATAAACAATTTCCTGTTCTGTGCTGCTGCCCCCTTTGTGAGGACTGCACAACTGATCAGGAGTGAGACCTTCTCTTGGATGTAACATTTCCAGGGAAAGAAGCCGCATTTGTGATTTTGATTAATCCACTAGACAATCGGTATTTCCGTTTTTCTTACTATTTCTTTGTAGAGCGAGTTGCTTGCCTACTAGAGTACAAGTGCTGAGAAAACCAAAATAATGTTTTGTTTTGTTTTTTTTCTTAAAGAGTTTATGTATTTACTTGTCAGGGAGAGAGCAAGTACAAGCAGGGGGAGCATCAGAGGGAGAAGCAGGCTCCCCACTGAGCAAGAACCAACACCCCCCCCCACACACACACACACACACAGGACCGGATCCCGGGATCCTGGGATCATGACCCAGAGCCAAAAGAAGACGCCCAAGTGACTGAGCCACCCAGATGTCCCAAGAAAACCAAAAAAAATTTAGACTAGAGTCCTTATTCTTAAATGAATTATATTCAAGGGAAATCAGTATATTTAAAAATCTTCTTAAACAGATTTCCATTCTTGCTCCCAGTTTTGTTACAGTTAGTGTATAGAATTTGAGGAGTCTTACACCCAAAAGAGAAATAATAGTGTGTGGATATAACCTATGTGTGTAGTTAGAAAATTGTATATCAACTTAAAAGTTAACCTATCATATGTTTGAAATGTCCCATAATAAAACTTTTTAACTGAAAAAGAAAAAAAAATAAAATAAAAAAAAACAAAAGTTAACCTATCAATTTGTCTGCAGTTTTCCTGTCTCCACATTCTGGGTTTTTGTTTTTAACTGCGGTGAATCATCTTCACTTTCTTTTTGTCTAATGTTTGCACATAACTTGTATTTACATTTCTAAATACCTCTTTTAAATGGCTTTCCCTGACAGCTTATTGGAGTAGATCACTGTGTAGCTGACTGGGGTTTAGTCCTTGTGTGGAATCTTCCACAGGCACTTAGTGTGTCTAGTTGTAAAAAACACAGAAGTCAGCCCAGCCTTTATCTTAGAAATGTACAGTGGAAAGAAGACCTGGCATGGATAATTTCAGTGAGGTGTCTTTATGCCTGTTGACGTGGAACACACTGTGTACTTTTGGGGAACTGCTGTAAGAAAAAAACCCCGCCATTCCTTTAGGCATTTATAAAGTCTTTTTCTCTCAGCCGTGTTCCAAGAAGGATTTAAAGAGCCTTATCAGGGATACGGAAAATAGAGTAAGATGTGCAAAACGCCAAGAATTGTGGAAACTGAATTTCAGATAACTCTCCTAACTCATCCATGGTTCACTGGGGTGGAAGAAGGCTAGCAAAGCTGTGAAGTGTTGGTTGCTGTCCTTTCCCACCAGTAGAAACGTACATTATCCGACTGATCTGATAGTTGATATTGTTCCACGTCTTGGGCTTCTACATCCGATTTTATTTTAAGAATTAAATTTCTTTCCTATGGAGGTTTTAAGCTGTGCTATCAGATTTTTTGTGTGAAGGAGAAATTGCTGACTATTAGGAATGGTGAGAGGAATGTGTAGAAATAAAAGGAGTTTTGAAAATAAATCTTAAGAAGCAATAGGTTTAAGGTAACGGGAGGCAATATATGAGTGCATCACAATTTATGTGCAGATTTTGTAAGTGTTTACTTCATTTCTTTTTTGGTTTTTGACTCATTCTTAGGCTCCTGCTCACCACCTTATTTTGGAAGGCATTCTAATTCTCTGGATAATCAGACTTCTATTCTCTAAAATGTACAGATTACAAGAACGATCTGATCTTACAGTCAAGGTAAGAAATTAAATCTTTTATTACTCACTGTATGATTGCAGTTGGTACACCCTTCCAAAAAATACTTGTGGTGGCTCACCTATATATGTTAAAATATTTTCTGTCACGTAAACAATCAAGGGAAAGGAAATATCAGGGAAGCAGAACGTGGAGAAGCCAGGGGTAAAGTAGCCACCCAGTGGGGTACCCCGCCACAGAACGCTGCACTGTGTCAGGGAAGCAGCAGATTTAGGGACAGATGGTAGGAGGGAAGCCTGGGCAGCGACAGCATTTCGATGATCTACGTGCAGAATGACGTGAGCTGCGCAGGAAGAACACCACTGGTTCTGAAACCTAAAGAAAATTTTCCCTGGGGTCTTCATGAAGGAAATTCAGAGTAGGAAACAATCCTCCCACTTCCCCACCCCAAACTGAATTTCTCTGTGGTAAGGGACCCAGCCCAAGCCCAAGCCAGGCAAACCTTAGGTAGCAGAAGCGTCTAGGGGACTGTGGCACTGCTCATGTGGCATCCCGTTCACCTGAAGGATGAGGAGGCTTGTGGAAAAGAAGCTTGTCCTCTCACTTCAGTGGGAGCACCTAGGAATGGCACTCCAGTGCAAGAGAGAAGAGCAGTTCTGACCACACCGTGGTTTCCGTCCCTCGGGCCCTTTCCCTGTCCAGCCCCTGTAGCGTTGGGCCAGGATGCTCAGAGAGACCCATGACTGTGAGAAAGGTTTTTCCATGAAAATCTCTACAACTCTGGTTCACAAGGCAGCACTGGGTGCAGCATGGAGATGGGGCAGAATTAAGGCAGCAGTGCGGTGATCACTTCCCATGCTGTGCTGCCTGGCTGCCGCCCTCCTGATCGTTCATATTCCTTGTAGGACAGTCAGGCAGTGCCCCCCAAAGGACATGAAGCATATGGTTCTTAGGGCAAATATATTTGGGAAACCTGCTTAATGCAGAGTAGGGCATGTCTGATCACATGATTTCATGTAGCCTTTACTAGGCTAGTGGATAGTTGAACCTCTGTTTGGAGAGATGCCCTCACCTTGACCATAGATTCTTCCCTCCCCCACCGTTTTGTTCTGACTGCCTTGTGGGATTAGCATGCCATGGAACACTCTGGATAGCATTGCAGTAAGATTGGGCCATCCAGGGCAGAGGTCCTGTCTCAGCTTTTTCCCCTGGCATTTCAGAACTTATGAATGATCAGGTGGCTGGTTTCTAGCTCAGCTTTGTAAGCGGTTCGTCATTCCTGGTATTTTGAATTTTTGTTTATAAAGCTGGCAGTCCACACATACCTATATTTTTTAGAGAATGATTAGACATAACTTTAGAGTCATCCTTTGAAAGCTGAACTTAGCAAGATTTAGTAATCATGGACATCTTACCCTAAAAGCTATGGAAGAAAAAAAACTGTTTTTAAAGCTTAACTTCTGGCAACATAGATGCAGTGTCCTTCGGTTTTACAGATCTGCGGTCTCTTGAATACAAGGGGATCCTGAGATGCTTCTGACATCTGGCCCCGGGTCACAGGTGGGCGGTGTGCGTGACGTGGCCTCGCGGGCTGCTGTTCAGAAACAGATAAGGAACTTACTGGTTGCTTGTAACGGAAGTGTAGGAACAAAACAGTGACCAGCACCCTGCTGTATTTTGTTTCCTTCTCTCCCATAGGAAAAGGAAGAATTGATTGAAGACTAGCAGCCAGAACCTCTTTTTCCTCCATCTCGAAAGACCATCCTGCTCTCAACTACAACGTCGTTTCAGGGTAAAGTGGTTTGCTTCTCAAAGGATGTGTATTTGCTCTCCTGTAGGTATACTCGCCAAAGCATACAGAAGTTTATGTAGTATTTCTAGCAGAAATCAAACAGTGAGAAATCGTGGAAGCTCAGAAACTGTTTTAGTGCCTAATACATGACTCTGTTAAGGATGCACGGACAGTTTTATGGTCTCTAGTTTGGGCATTGCAGTTTGTCCCTTTCTTCCATTAAAAAAACAAAAACCAAAAACCTTGTTTTGTGAAATTAGACATGCTCCTGGTAATACTTCAAAAAGTGAGACACACTTGAAATGAAAAGCAGTGCTCCTGCTTTTTCTCATCTTCATTGTTTCTGATTTTAGATCTGTTGTAGGTTACCTTCGTAACCAGATAAGAATAGTGTGCTCACACTTCTCCTTAGTGAGGTAGCTATAGACAGCAGCACTTGACTTTGACAGTTTGAGTTCTGAAACTTGACCTTCCTTGTGCTGCCTCTCGCCCTGCTTGTTCCAAGGTCTGATCTGTCTTTGTGTTTAGTTCTTCTGTTGCTTGTCTTTACCATGTATGCTTTCTTAAATTAAGAAGTATTTTAAGTTTGTAGGAAATATCTGACCCATGTATACCCACCATGCAGGATAAATAGGCATTAACATTTTGCTATCTTTCTTTCAAATCTACCTTAAGAAAGAAATAAAACGTTCCAGTTATAGCTAAGAAACACCTTCTCATCTACCACTTACTCTTATCACCCACAAAGGACAACCATTTTCATGAAGTTGGTGGATGTCTTTCACTTACATTTAAACCTTTAAAAAAAAATTTTCATTTCTTTAGTTTAGAGAGAGAGAGAGCGTGCCTAAGAACAGAGAGGGACAGAGGAAGACAGAGAACCTTCAATAGGTTCCACGCTGAGCACACAGCGTGATGTAGGACTTGAACTCAAGACCCGGCGATCAGGAACCAAAGTCAAGAGTCAGACACTTGACCAACTGAACCACCCAGGTGTTCCTCTATTCATACTTTTAACACATATCCTTGACGCCATGAAATTATTGAGTATTTTGTCTAAAAATGTGATGCAGCATATTTCTCTGAGTGTGCCCTTCAACTCCTGCGCTGATGGAAGGGAGGTTTGCATTCTTCACTCCGTGCATTGCTGTGGTCATCCAGAATTTTTATGCGTTCTGAACTCAGACTTACTCATCATCAGTGCCGTGGTTAAGAAGTCCTTCCCTGCCCCCCGAGGTCAAATGTGTCCGTGTCAGTACAGTGGTCAGCTGTCCCAGCATGCATTGACTTGTCCATTGTTTACCTACTGAGTAGAAATTTCCCTTTTTCTGTATAGTGTCTGCCCTTCTAACAGGTCTGTTTCTGGCTTTGTTTCTCCTCTGCCGGCGTGTCTGTCTCTCCTGGTGCCAGAACTTCACATAAATAGCACAGCATAAGAATAGGCCTTGACTAGAGCAAGCCCTTCACCTCCTTGTCCTTCCGAACTGCATGGCTCTTTGCATTTCTGTTCCTCAGTGTGAGCTTGTTTAACTTATCACATTTGACCGACAAATAAGGTCGGGTTGTGACCGGCAGTGCACTGATGTGGATTCGTGGGAAAACTACCGTGTGCCTGGTGTGTCACTCTGGTCTTTCATGTCCTACAGTAAAGCCGTGTAATTTTCTTCATAAAGACTGCTTGTCTTGGGGTGCCTGGGTGGCTCAGCGGGTTAAAGCCTCTGCCTTCGGCTCAGGTCATGATCTCAGGGTCCTGGGATCGAGTCCTGTATCGGGCTCTCTGCTCAGTGGAGAGCCTGCTTCCCCCTCTCTCTCTGCCTGCTTCTCTGCCTATTTGTGATCTCTGTCTGTCAAATAAATAAATGAAATCTGTAGAGGGGCACCTGGGTGGCTAAGTGGGTTAAAGCCTCTGCCTTCGGCTCAGGTCATGATCCCGCGGTCCTGGGATCGAGCCCCACATCGGGCTCTCTGCTCAGCGGGGAGCCTGCTTCTTCCCCTCTCTCTCTGCCTGCCTCTCTGCCTACTTGTGATCTCTGTCTGTCAAATAAATAAAATCTTTAAAAAAAAAAAAGTCTGTAGAAAATGTAGCTACTTTTCAGTGAACGCACTAGTGCTGTTCATTTAGTACTGGGTTAACACAAGAGTAAGTGAATTTACTTAACTTGGAGAGGTTTTTTCTTTCAATAATAGCCTTATTGACATAATCCTCAGACCATGAAATTCAGTCTTTTAATTCACCACAATTGAGTGGGTTTTAGTATGTTCACAGACTTGTGCAACCATTGCCACTGTCTCATTTCAGAATATTTTTTTTAAAGATTTTATTTATTTATTTGGCAGACAGAGATCACAAGTAGGCAGAGAGGCAGGCAGAGAGAGAGGAGGAAGCAGGCTCCCCGCTGAGCAGAGAGCCCGATGTGGGGCTCCATCCCAGGACCGCGAGATCATGACCTGAGCCGAAGGCAGAGGCTTAACCCACTGAGCCACCCAGGCGCCCCCAGAATATTTTTATCACCCCAGAAAGAAATGGCACACCCACGCTCACTCACCCCCCATGCCCCCCATTCCCCATCTACTTTCCCCTGACACGTACTAACCTACTTTTTCTGTGTGTTGGCCTGTTTTGGACTTTAAAGGAATCATGCAGTATGTGGCCCTTTGTGTCTGATTTCTTTCATTTAGCATCACTTTTCCAAGGTTTGTCCATGACAGAGTAGCTTGTGTCAGTTTTGTGTCTGAAAAATACAGTATTTCACTCTGAATATATCATACTTTGTACATTCATCAGTTGATGGGCATTAAGGGTTGTTTCCATGGTAAGTATATGAAAGGAGAAAAATTATATGTGTGCATAAACTCCCATGAATATTTGTGTACATATTTTATTTAATTTCACTTTTTTTAACGATTTTATTAGAGAGAGAGCGTGCATGCACAAGCAGGGGAGGGGCAGAGGGAGGCAGAGAAGCGACTCCACACTGAGCAGGAAGCCCAACTGCAGGGGCTTAGTCCCAGGACCCCGGGATCAAGACCTGAGCCAAAGGCAGACAGTTAACCGACTGAGTCACCCTGGCGCCTCTATGTACACATTTCCTCTGCGGACATATGTTTTTATTTCTCCTGAATATACACCGGGGAATGAAATTGTAGAGGTTTGTGGGAACTTACTTTGAGCACCCACCAGTCTGCTTTCCAAAGTGGCTGAATCATTTTCCATTCTCACCAGCAATGCATGAGAGTTGTAATTTCTCCCTGTCTTGGCCAACACTGTCTTTCATTGTGACCATCCTGTAGGTGGGGAGTGGTACCCTCCATGGTTGGGATTTGCATTTCCCAATGATTAATGACGCTGAGCATCTTTTCATGCACTGATCAGCCATTTATACGTCTTTTCTGGAGAATAACCTATTTAAGTCATTTGTCCATTTTCTAATTGGGTTATTTGTCTTTTTATCATTGAGTTGTAAGAACACTTTGTATATTTTGGATACCAGTCCCTTATCAAAAATACATGCAGATATTTTTCCCCATTCTGTGGGTTTGTTGCTTGTCTGACAGTGTGCTTTGAAGCACAAATGTTTCTAATTTTAATGAGGTCCAGAGTTCTGTTTTGTTCTTTTGTTGCTTGTGCTTTTGTATTGGTTTTACAATCCTTCCCTGATTCGAGATTATGCAGGTTTCCTTCTTTGTTTCCAGGAGGAGGGCTCGGCGTCCCATTTTTCATCATGTGGATTTGTACTCGATTCCTGTTTTCAGCACGGTGCCATTCCGCAGCTGTCTGTAGGACTTTAAGTTATACTCAGGCTTTTCCAGGGAGGAAGTCTGCTGTCTTTCTGCAGAGTGGGAAGGGGATCTGAGTGAGTGGCTGCTGCTTACCAGATTTCCAGCTGCCCTCGTGCTCACATGGAACTGTTCCCTGGGGTGAGGGGGGGTCGTTTTCCAGGAGCAGCGGCTGAGCTGCTCACTGCTGGCTCACGTGCAGCTTTCTCTCTGGTCTCTGACTTCTCACATACAACCTGTCCATTTGCCAGGAGTTGTCCCTCCCTGCGTCCTGGTCTTAGTAGCATCAGCTAGTTAGACCTTGGAGGCATCTTATGTCCCATTAGAAGGGACCGCGGGCCTGCGGGTTTTGTTCATTTTACCAGAGGCCACTGGTAGGTCTTCTATTCATAAATAATTCTTAAATACCTGGAATAAGGCTGTTTGATTAGTTCTTATACGTTGCTGGTTTGTTTTGTTAATGTTTGGGATTCTTGACCTGCATGTTGAAATGTGAGTTTTGTTTCTTCTTTTCCCTTCCTGTGCTGGTCCAGTTCAGGTATCAGATATAATCGGCCTTGCCCTCCTCTTAGTCATCGTGTGGTAGGCATGCTGACAACACTGACTCCGTCTCTGGCCCTCCAGTTTCATGCCCGTGCAGTGACCTCGCCAGGGCTCTGTGGTCTGGGCCCCGTGGAGGTTAACATATGCCCTGACCAGAAGAGGGGAGGCTTGTTCCGATCTTCCCTGAAGAAGACATCGTAGGTAACTGGTCGGGATCACTGGCCTGCAGAAGGCCCCAGTTTAGATGACTACCCCGTGACCGTGCCCCCATTCCCTGTGCTCCCGAAGAGCCAGGGCAAGGCTCGCCTGGACTGGGCGCAGAGCGGCTGTGCACTCACTGCCCTGCCTGCCTGCCTGCCTGCCTCAGCACCCCATCGGTAAGTTACCCCACAGCTCCTTCGGCACGATGGGGGCCGGCTTCAGCTTTCAGTCGTGGAGGGGCTGCTCAGTCTGGAGGATGCGTTACTGACCCTCCACCTCCCTCTCACAGGTCTGCATTGGTCGCACTGTTTGTTGTGTCGAGCCTAGATTTTTAGTCCCAAACTCCCTGTCTTCAGTGAGTTCTTCAAACTGAGTGAGTTTTGGTTATTGTCCATAAGTAATTGTCCATTTCTTCTTACCGTTTCTGAGTGAATTGGCCTGAAGCAGTTTCTCGGGTTGCGTTGACCACACGCCTTTAGGTACAGAGGTGTATGATGGCGCACGTGCAGGGTCGTGTTTCCCCTGCAGGCGGTGTTTGCTCGGGTCCCGCTTCTCACTCAGCTCTGCCAGAGTCTTGTCTTCTGACTCGGTGGAAGCTCCATCTTAGTTTCTCCACGTGCGGCCTTGTGGACACAGGTGCTGACCCTGTCCTCCATTCCACTCTGGTCGGCAGCGCTGGTGTTTTACACCTTGTCTCCTTTTGTCCTCCCCCCAGACCCCCACTTGGCCGCCCCCTGAAATACTTCCACTGAACTTTCAGTCATCGCTTGATGTCCTATATGTCTGAATTACTAAAATGATGCCTTTTATTTTTATTATACATGTATTGTTAACCTTAAAAAACAGTTATTTTTACCAATAAAAATGGGTTCATTTGGGAATAAAAATGACAATTTGGGACCAGCAAGTTAGGGCTAAACCGTGGGTAAGTCCAACAGACAAAGGAGAGGAAGGTCGTTTTCTGAGGGAGGAGGCCATTGAGAGGGGTTGTTTTAATGAAAGTTTATTGGAGGCAAGCAAGAGTCCAGGCCCCTGAGGGCTTCTCGCTGGCTGAGCTGCAGGGCTGATGGGTCTCTTGTAGAAGATGCTGTGCCCCACTCTCCCGGTTAGGGGCTATAGTTGAGGATTGCTTACTCTGGGAGGGGCCTGGAATCCCCAGTTCTTCTTATGACTGGCATTGAACCGTGCTGCTCCCCCTCTAGCCTCCCCTCCTGCCTTCCCCCCCCAGCTTCCCCTCCAGCCTCCCCTCCAGCCTCCCCCCTAGCTTCCCGTCCAGCACCCCAAGTCGGCTTCATGCGGTTTCCCAGTGTTAATAGTCACACTACCTTTGGAAATAGATCTTAACGTTTTATGAAGTATGTTTTTAATTTTGTGCTCCAGCTTCTTTCTGATTCTTATTTATTCACACTCATTTTTTTAAACATCTGTTTGGGTGCCCATTGTGTCCCAGGAATGTGCTGAGCACATACAGTGAATCAAAATTGTAGGTCTTCTGGGGCAGACAAACCAACAGTGAAATAGAACGTTAGCTGGCGTGAAGGGATACTGAAGAGATTTCACTCAGCGCAGACCGGATCGGGAGGGCTGGATGTGCTTCTTGCTCTTTCCTTCCACATGCTGTGTAGGCCTCCATTGTGTACTTAGCCGCTTTGCTCATGTTGGGTCCCTCAGCTGCGCCCACTCCCCGCTGCCACACAAAATGTGGTGATTACTGGCCCCTTGTGCAGCTGCGTGAGTCTCTGGAGCCAGCAGTAGGTCCTGACACACGCCTGTCTCATTTCCCTGTGGGGCTTCCCTACCTGGTGGTGTACCCATCTCCGCTCCCCTGAGTTGGGATATGGGGGCCCTGCTGGGCAACATTGTTTTATTTTGTATTTTTCTGATTATTTGGGCCTTTGAGTATCATTTCATCTGCTTAGGAGCTGCTGGGGTTTTCCCATTCTGTGAATGCCTCTTCATGTCTTCACCTCTTCTCGCTGCATTCCTGGTGCGTGTCTTGATTAGCCCGAATCCCGTGTGCCTTGTAGACTTTCTTCTGTGGTCCGTTTTCAGTGTAGTACTGTATGTCAGTTTTAAGACACACGTTCGTGTTCTTCCTGTCGTCAGATCTCTGAACTGGGATGAATCTTAGGGATTCTGAGAGTTGTTGTCGGCGGGGGCATCCTTGCCTTTGTCCCTGTAAACTGGTCCTGGCTGCACTTATTGCTGGCTCCTCCATAGAGCTGTGAGCGCTGCTGGCAGGGAAACCAGGGACCGGCCGGGGAAAGGTCCACGCTCCTCCCAGCCAGTGAACAGAGGCTGCAGTGACTGAGGCTTGAGCCTCCCTCCGTCAGATTCCTGCCTGTGGGTGGTTGCACCTGGCTTTTAGAAATGTGATTTCATTGGGGGAAAGATGAATTCAGTCCAGGGAGAGAGTTCAGCATCAGAATTTGAGGTGTGGGAGATGCTAACGTGTCGGGCAAGCTCGGCAGCTCCAAGTCAGGGAAGCCCACGAGACATCGTTTCATAGATCTTCAGCCGGCCTGTCATTTTTCTGCACTCTTCAGAGTCTTTTTATGTTTGTTTTATATGTAGTGTCCAGGGTTTGGGCTTGTACTTAGAAAAACAGGGAAAATAGGACTATTCCATCTTCGTGGCAGAAGCCTTGCATATACTTTAAAATAATGCAGCTTAATGTCAGAGACATCCTCCCTCCCTAACTAACTCGGTTTAGAAGATCTTACTCTAGTTTCAGCCGCAAAACCAGAGTCAACAGTTGGTATCACTTCTCATGGCAAAATAAGGGCAGAGTCTGCGCCAGTCAAATCTGAGAAGCCACCGAGGGTGAGATCACCAGCGTTGTGTGTGTTTCTCAGAAAGAAAAAATTGCTGTGGGTGAACAGATGTGCACGCTGACTTCTGAGAGAGTAAAATGAGCCAGGGGTGTGCTCCGTGCAGAGGAATGAGTGTGGTCGCTCTGAAAAAGACGTGCAGAGTGAGGCACAAACAGTGGCGTGTAAGCCATCAGATGTTCTTACTGATCGGCGTGTTAACAAGTGCACGTTGAGCAGCTACAGAAAGCAAGCATTCCCTTTCCGAGAATGTTGACAAGACCTTTTAAAACCCCAATTTGGTGGGTCTCTCTTCCTTGCAGAGACAGAGCTGCCTGCTTTGCCATTCAGAAAGGATTGCAGGCATCACGGAGTGACAGTAAGTTATTTAAGCATAATGACATGGCAGACCTGGAGCACCTGCTGAAGGAACAAGAGATGGAAGATGAAAAGGTATGATTCTTTTGAAGAAAATTATACAGTTCTTTGTGCTTGCTAACCAGCTAAATTATATATGAAATGATAATTTGTCATGAAAACTTGCCTGCGGATCACTTTTGGATATGAAGTGAGGGCGTTCCTGCTTATTAAACACACTCTGTGTTGGAGAGGCAGGTCTGACTGTAATCGCCTCATCGTCGCCATAATTACTTACGGCAGCTTTGGGGGAAGGTAACGCGGGCAGCTTTCTAGAAGAGGAGGGCAGCGTGTGCGTTGGGGAGCAGGGGTGTACTCCCCAGTTTACAGAAGTAACGCCAGAACGCACTAGTGCTTATACCTGTATCTGGGGTGCTGTCTTCAGAAGAGACTCAGGCGTGGTTTAGAGATTCAGAGATGGTCACAGTGTGATGTAAAAAAGCAAGAGAAGGGAAACCACCTACACCCAGCGCTGGTGCAATAGTTACTATATGATGTATCCACAGCAGAGTAGTGTATCTCCATCGAAATCATGTTTTCAGTAATTATTAATTAAAATAATTTTTTTAAAACTCAGGTTCTAACACTATGGCAGTAAAATTCTGATTTGAACAGAGTTTATAAGGACAGTCACTCTCAATGGGTCTTGTAACTACCTGATCTGTTAAAAACTTTGTGCACTTTCTCATTTCCCAAGATACCTACATTGAGTATTTTTTAAGTCGTAATAAAAATACTTCATTTTGGAAAGGTAGGGGGAGGCTCGCCTCTCTTCCTGTCCTCCCCCGTGACTCCCCGTGGCGTTTGGGTCTGAGTCAAGAGTGGAGTGAAGGTGGTCGAGCCAACTCGGGGCGTGTATTCCGCGTGCTGTGCGTGTTATAGCCATGGGTTCTGGCATGTCCCTCGTTAGAAGCTTAGAGGCAAGAAACCTTTGCAGAGGAAGATGTTCCCAGTTCTACCCAAGGATCTCAGTATTTTTTCAACCTTGCACGCCTGAATCATCTACAAATTCCCTAGGGTGGGTGGCTTATTACTAGTGACCTGCCATGAGCGGGCTGCAGGAAGGTTCTGTGTTGTCTGAAATAGGCCTCCGCCACTGCCTCAGACATGCCTGGATGAGGTCATGGTTGAGTTTTACTTGACCTGGTGGTTAGGAAGGATTTTATCTGCTGTTTGGTAGATGAAGGAGAACAGGGTTTGTCTGTTCAACTTTTTATTATGGAAAATCTCGGGCATATTCAAAGGAAATACAGTAGTATAAGAAGCCTCATGCCCTTCTCCCAACTTTTTATCAACATTCTGCCCTTCTTGTGTCATCAGAGCCTCTGTCAAACTCCTGCCCCATCTGTAATGATTGCCATCATCATTGTAGCTCTGTTTTAGGCAAACCTGGTAGATGTTGAAGTGAACAAATCCTGGCCATACATTTTGATCAGTGGATAATCCAGGTATCATGGCCCTGTTGTGACTTGAAATGTGCCCATCTCCCCACAAATTTCCCTTGGGCTATCTCAGTCATTCTGGGTTTGGGGAGTTTTGCTTGTGCTTCAGCATTCTCAGAGCACCTAAATTGCGTGTGTGCGTGCATGTGTGCAGTCACGTCATGGATTGAGTGAACTGGAAAACATGAGAAAAGACAGCACTATTGTCTCAAAATAACAGGGTATAAAACCTTGAACTTGAAACTCACCTGGACTGTCTATTGGTTTACTTATTCAGATGAATAGATTTTGTCGGGTGGAGGGCTAGGAAGCATCTAACAGATTCTGCATTTGGAGTTACTGAGATTTAAAATGTCTTTTTTTTTTTCTTCCTTTTAAAGAATCCTCGCAAGGCTCGGGTCACTCGACGTTTCATCGTCATGGAAGGGCTATATATGAACACTGGGGAATCTGTCCTCTCCCAGAACTGGTAAGCCACCACGCTCACCGAGCATTGCAGTACTCGGACGGGGGCAGTTTGTTTATATGCACTTCTCATGTCTAACGCCTGCCCTGCTTGCATACCGGGCTCTGACGTACCCAGGAAGCAGAAGAGCATTACTTGCCCATCCTGGTCTTTAAGCAAAAATCAAGACTCAGCTCTTTAAAACCTACTGTATTGATGTGTAATTGACTTATAAGTGTACAGTTTTTTTGTTTAAAGACTTTTATTTACTTTATTTGAGAACAAAAGAAAGCACAAGCCATGGGGAGGGGCAGAGGGGGAGGGTGAATCAGGGAGCCCAACGTGGGGCTCAGTCCAAGGACCCCGAGATCATGACCTGATCTTAACCAGATGCTTAACCAACCAAGCCACCCAGGTGCCCCAAGACAGCTCCTTTAACAGGAAAGGCAATATACTGTTTTTAGAAAGCATTACTGCTGAGATTTCTCACTGAGGTGAAGCTCACACAAGATAAAATTAGCTGTTTTCGAGAGTACGGTTCTGGCATTTGGCACAGGCAACGTGTTACGTGACCATCAGCTGTCTAGTTTTCTCCCAGTAGGCCCCTGCCACTAAGCAGTCACTCCCCATTTCCCTCTGCCTGTAGCCCCTAGCAACCACCAGTCCGCTTTCTGTCTCTATGGATTCACCCATTCTGGAGATTTCTGATAAACGGGATCATACCATCTATGACCTTTTGTGTCTGGCTTCCTCCACGTCCCTGTTTCCGTAGTTCCTCCGGTTTGCAGCATGCACCAGTCCTTCGTTCCCTCGTTGCGGGGAGTGGCAGTCCATTGTGTGGACATGCTGCATGGCTCCTGTGCTGATGGGGGTGGATCGCTGCTGCTCTCTGGCTGCTGGGAGGGCGGCTGTGAGCTTGTGTACAAGCACTTGTTTGAATCCTTGTTTTCAGTCCTTTGTGCGTATTTTTGGCCGTACAGTTGCTGTATTAAATGGTGATTCTATGCTTAACTTACTGAGCACCTGCCAGACGGTTTTCCCCAGTGGCTGCACCATTTTACACCCCCTGCCCCGCCAGCAGTGGGGCAGGGTGCTGGTTTCCCCACAGCCTCACCGACACTCGGTTGTTGTTTTCGATTTTGCCACACCTGTAGGTGTGAAGCATGTGGTTTTGATTTGCATTTCCCGGAAGATCGATGATGTTGAGCCTCTTTTCTTGTTTTTGTTGGCTATTTGTGTATCTCTGGGGAAGAGACTTCAGAAGTCTTTCGCCCATTTTCAAATTGGGTTGTTTGTCTTTTTATTGTGAAGTTATAAGAGTTCTTTCTATGTTCTGGATACTAGACCCTTACCAGATACATGACTTGCAAGTATTTTCCCCACAGTTCTGTAGGTTGTCTTGTCATTTCTTTGATTCGAGTCCTTTGATGCGCTGAAGTCTTTAATTTTGATGAAGGCCAGTTTGTCTGGTTTTTTGTTGCTTGTGCTTTTGGTCTTCTAGCTGAGAAATTTATTGTCAAATCCAGAGTCATGAAGATACACCCCTATGTTTTCTTCTGAGAGTTTTGTAGTTCTAGCTTTGTTGTAGGGCCCTGATCCATCTTGGTTTTTTGTTTTTATAGATTTTATTTATTTATTTGAGAGAAAGAGAGCCCAGAGGGAGAGGCAGAAGGCGACTTCCCACAAGCAGGGAGCCCAATGCAGGGCTTGATCCCGGATCCCTGGGATCATGACCTGAGCCAAAGGCAGACGTGTAAACGACTGAGCCCCACAGGCGCCCCATCTGATCCATTTGGACTTAATTTTTGTGTGTGTCCAGTTTCGTTCTTCTGCATGTGGTTTCCAGTTGTCCCTGGACCATCTGCTGAAGGAACTGTTGTCTTCCATTGGGTGGTCCTGGTCTTTTGGCCGTAGACAGACAAGCTCTCTAGCTTTCAGGACTCTCCTGTCTGTTCCGTTGTCTGTATGTCTAGCCTTTTGCCAGTATCACAGCATCTCAATTCCTTTGCTTTATAGTAAATGTTGAAATCAAGGCATGTGAGTTCTCCAACTTTGAGATTGTTTTTGGTTATTTGCAGTCCCTGGAGATTCCTTTTGAAGTTTAGAATCAGCTTTTCCATTTCTGTAAAAACAGAAAGTGCCATTGAAATTTGGATAGGGATTGTACTGAATCAGGATTGTATTAAATCTGTAGATTGCTTTAGGAAGTATTTCCATCTTAATGATATTAAGTCCTTGAATCCATGTGTAAGGGCCTGGTTGGCCAGAGGGAGTCATTTTGTGTTTATATAGTGAACTTAGATTGTCCCTATGCAGTAAACTTAGATTGACCTTGCCCCTTCCAGAGGAATTTACTTGCAAAGCCTAGATACAGGGCGGGTCAGGCCAGGTGAAGACATCCAATCAGTTGGGCGCGCATATATCTACTAGAGTAAATTGAAATTCAATTGGCCATCCGTGTGTTACCTAGCAGTTTTTTTTTTTTTTTATGTGTGTGGCAGACCTAGCATGACTGTGCAGTTTTCTCTGTGTATTGCAATCTCATTGGCCACCTGTGTATAGCCCGGCTAAACTACCTCTATAAAAGCTAGTCTGTGAGGCTGGGAGGGGTCGCCTTTTTGCAAGAGACGGCCCTTACCGGTCAGTTTGATTCTCGATGCTTTTCTTGAAATAAAGCTTTGCTTGACCTTCGCTTTGTATCAGTCTTGCTCCTTTGATTACGGACCCTAACACGTGAACACAGAAATATTTCCATTTATTTAGATCTTTAGTTTCTTTCAGTAGTGTTTTGTTTTTTTCACTATCAGGTCTGACATCTCTTTGGTTAAATTTATTCCTAAGTATTTTATTCTTTTTGATGCTGTTATAAATTGACTGGTTTTAGGGATTGTTAACTGCTAGTTTATAGAAATACAACTGATTTTATAGGGTTTTTTATTTTTTATTTCATTGTTATTATTTTTTTTAAGACTTTATTTTTAATGTATTCGCTATAACCAGCATGGATCTCAAACTCAGAACAGTTGGATTCTGCCAGCTGAGCCAGCCAGGCATTCCTGGATTTTGTGTTTCGATCTTGTATCATGGAATATTCTATATGTAAGCTCCTGTAATCTATGAGTAGAGATAGTGTTACCTTTTCCTTTCCATTTTGGATTTCTTTTATTTTATTTTTCTTGCCAGATTGTTCTGGCTGGAACCTCCCACACAGTGTTGACTAGGAGTGGCGAGAGGGGGAAGCTTTTCAGGCTACGTCCACTGATTATGATATTGGCTGCGTGTTTTCCGTAAATGCCCTTTATCGGGTTGAGGAAGTTCCCCCTCGTCCTAATGTGTTGTGTGTTTATACCATGACAGATTTGGATTCTGTCAGGTGCTTTTTCTGCATCAGTTGATGAGTCGAACATGTGGTTTTCCTTCATCCTATTAACAGAGTCGAGATTATCCTACTGTGTTTGCATTCAGCCAGTGAAACTGGAATCTGAGTCCCGTCAGTTGAATGGGGATTCAGAATAAGGGTTTCATATCTTGTTTTTAAAGTTTTTCACTGTTTCTTGAGGAAATCTAAATACATCTTTAAATATCCTTGAAGAGATGTATCCGTTTTCCTTTTCCTGTTTTCACGCCAAAGGCTGATAGAAGCGAATCAGGGTGACAGTGGCCAAAAGATAGCAGCATTGTGTGGTTAGCACTGCAGCAGTGGGAGAGCAGTACCGATGGACAGATATGGCAACTAAGCCGTGAAACGAAATACAAAGTGTAAGGGACAGGTCAGATACATATTAGCATTGAGTATGTAAAGATGACAGGATACAGATTAGGGTTTGACTTTGGGATTTCTGTTTCGTTTCACTGGTCTGTGTGTTTGTGCACCAGTATTGTCATAATACTATTAAAAACTTTCTAAAACATGATTTTTAGAAAATTTCTCACTCATAAAACGTTCTATACATATTAATGGATGGAAATAGTATTGAAAAGATAGAATTTTCCCCAGATTAGCTTATCTATTGTTAATAAAAATCCACCAAAATTTTAGTGGTTGATAATTACTATACTTTAATTCACCCGTGAAACTGATCACATTCATAGATTTTCGGGGTAAATCAGGTAAACATTGGAGGGGGGAGAAAGCTAGATGCAAGCATTCATGTGTTCAGCTTCCCGCTGTGTTAACAGAAAAGTAACATGAATAATAAGAAAACCTACAGATAAATATACAAATACAAAAATACTTTGACTACTTATTTTCAATCTACAAACCCATTTCAAATATTGTGGAAATATTAAAAGATGTAATTTTCTAATTCCGTTCTTGTGCCTCGAAGCCTTTTAAGTTTGTGTTTTTGAGAACGCTGTGCATTGAAAGTGACCTACGTGTGCTGGGTGTCCTGATACAAGGGTGGTGTTTTCCATTCAATGCCTGTTACTCGAAGGTTCACTTCAGCCCAGAGGAGCCACTGACCTGTTCTGCTGCTTCTGTGCAGGCTCTGCCTGTCCCATCACTGGGCTTACCTGCCCCGCTCTGTGCGGCCAACAGTTTATGGGACTGCTGGAGGTCTGTCTTCTGGGATCCTGGCTTCTCAACTGGTCCCACTGGGAGAGCCCTGGAGACCACATGATCTGCCCACAAAGTCCTACCATGGCCCAGGGTAGTAACAGGGAAGATCAAGGGCAGTGAGAACGCTTAGCACTGCTTCCCCTGGGCTACCTGCCCCCCTCGCCTGGGGCAGCACCCCACCTCAGCTCCTGGCTACCCACTCCCAGGACGCAGTGGTGGTTGCTACAAACTAGGGTTATAAGAGCCTTCTGCCCACATATGACATACATGTAATCTTAGTGAGACAGTGATGGACCAGGGAAGAAAACAGTATCTGTTAAGTAGCTCTAATGCAGAGTTCCTGACTGTTCTGCAGTGTTCCTGACTGTCCTGCAGTGTCCGTGCATAAAACTTTGACTCTTCATGGACTTCCACTCTTTCCATGCAAAATTGAGGAGACAGTGACACCCTGGCTAGCCCCCACCATGGAGGAGGGAAGGGGTGCTTGTGATTATAGACTGAGAGAAAGCACAGAAATCCCAATGCTGATGATTTGTGGAACCAGGCCAGCTAAGAAGAAAGAAGTAAAAGAAGGAATGAAAACAGAAATGTGAGGGGTCCTTTTCTTTCAGATAGTAACAGATGTATTGAGCAGTCTGAAAGGTGGCCAGGAGCTGGGGTCCAGGGCCCAGTGGACACCACGGACCCCTGAGCCTCACCAGAATGCACAAATCAGTTCCATGTCTGTAATAGACACCTTCTCTGGATATGTAGTATCCTTCCCTGCAAACAGTGCCTTTGCTAAATCTACTATCCTTGGACTTATGGAATGCTTTACCCATTGGCATGGTGTCCCACACCATGTTGCCCCTGGGCAAGGAATGTGTTTCATAGCAGATGAAGGGCAGCAATGAACCCATGATGGTAGAATTCATGGTCTTATCATGCTTTCCACCATCCGAAGCAACTGGCTTGCTAGAACAACAAAATGACCTTTTGAAGACTCAGTTACAGAGCTGGCTGGGTGGCAATCACTTGCAGGCAAAATTTGTCCTGGGGCAACTTTCTTTAGGAGGCCAGGTATGCTCTGAATCAGTGTGTCCGTATGTGATGCTCTTTCTCCCATAGTCAGGATTCACGGGTCCAGGAAGCTAGGGCTAGAAATGGAGGGACACCTGTATTACCCTAGTGACGTCACTAGGAAATCTTTGCTCCTTGTTTCTGTGACCTCACGCCCTGCAGATCTAGAGACCCTCATTCAAAGGGAAGAATGCTACCACCAGGAGACATACTGTGGTTCCATTAAAGTGGAACTTAAGACGGCTACTCGGCCACCTTGGGCTCTTCATGCCTTTGAATAAACACATAAAGATGAGAGGTAAGGTGTTTAATGATCCTGACTATGCAGAAAGATGAGACTGTTAATCCACCGTGGAAGAAATGGAGGGCATGTCTGCAGTACGAGAGATTCCTTAGAACCACCAAGCCCTGGGACGAAAGTCAATGAAAAATGACAACTGTCCAGTCCAGGCAGGACTACTGATAGTCCAGAAAACTCAGGAATGAAGGGTTGGGTCACTCCACCAGAAAACGAATCATGACCAGCTGAGGTGCTTGTTCACAGCAAATGTAATGTAAAATGAGCAGCCAAAGTAGCAGGTAGAAAACCAGCTATGACTATGTGACCATTACAGAAATAAGGACTCTAATTCTTTTTTTCATAAGATCTTGTTCGTTTCTTTGTTCAGAGTGCAAGTGGGGGGTGGGACAGAGACAGAGGGAGAGAGAGAATCTCCAGCGGGTTCCATGCTGAGCACAGAGCTCCATGTGGGCCTCAGTCCCATGACCCTGACATCATGACCTGGGCCAAAACCAAGAGTCGGATGCTTCACCAGCTCAGCCACCCGGGTATTCCAGGACTCTAATTCTTATGAGTATTTCTTCCTTATTTTGTTGTGAGTATTTTTGTGTTGGTCCATCTGTTTTCTTCCTTTTCTTGGTCTCTTATCAGAGAACATATGACATATGGAGTTTGCACCATAGTATTGAAGTTACAAGTTATCAGGGAGAAGAAGGAACATCTCCAAGGACTTTGTATCCTCTGCTAGGGAATGTATTAGTGCATTCTAAGTTGTATGTAAGATAGTTGCGTCATGATAGACAGAAGTATAGCCTTGTTATTGTGTTTTTTGGAGATTAAGCGTGACTTAAAGAGACGTGTACAGGTCCTAAATTGAGAAGGGTTAATTGTGATGGTTAATTATATGTGACAAATTGTGTAGGCCAGAGTACCCAGATAGTTGATCAAATACATGTCTGGGTGTAATGTCAAAGGTGTTTTTTTATATGTGATTTTCACTTAAATTTTGAAAAAAGCAGATTATGCTCCATAATGTGGGTGGGCCTAATCAGCTGAAGGCCTTAAAAGATTGAGGTCCTGCAAGTGTGAAGGAGTTCTGCCTCCAGGCAGGATTCAGACTCAAATTGCCACATCAGCTTGGTCTGCCACCAATCTGCAGAATTCACACATGCCAGCTTTCACAGTCAGCAAATTTCTTTAAAATCTCTCTCTTTCCTTGTCTGTCTCTGTCTCTCTCTTTTTCTCTCTCAGTAAACACACACACACATTCTAGAACCCTACTACAGAAAGTACTTCACATTTGTAATTAAGAAAATGATGAATAAAGAATGGAAGATGGGCATCATATTTACTCAGAAATTATTGGCATGTGCCTTGGTTCTTAATTATAAAAATTCTAACAGAAGTCTCTAGTAAATTCTTAACAAGCACCTTCAAAGAAAGTATAGAAAAGGACTAGGCTATATACCAAAACCCAGGAAAAAAAAAAAAAATGAAAATCCAGTACCTGCATGAAGTAGTAGGCAAAGTGATTGTAAGAATAAAATTAATCAAATAAGAAACATACAGAACTGCAACTAAGAAGGGATATATAACCAGACATCAACAAAACATGAGCATAGGATTTGCTTCTCCTGGAGGCAATGGAGCCAGGATGCCGGGTTTCTCCAAACTCTGAGCAAGCCAGTCTGGGTTTGATCCTCCGGCAGAGAGCTACCCGCTGAAGAGCTCAGCCGTGGTTTTCTTTCTTTCAGGGAATTGCTGATAGATCATCTGTCACACACTCAGCATAAGCCTGAGCATAAAGAAGAGCAGCATCAGCCACAATTATGATTCTTAAGAATGACTCTCACCCCCAAGATAGCGCAGTATCCTCTCACGGAGAAGAGCCTGGTTAGGAAGCTCGGAAGCCAGGTGACTCACGTTGGAATTCCCACTGGGTCCAGGGCGCATGGCTCTGGGGTCAGCTGTTCCCGGGATGGATTGGGAGATCTGACTAGCTCCCTGATCAGCATAAGAAGTGGGTCAGATTGAGCAGGGTGGAGATTCATAACAAAGAAATAAACATGGACACTCGTGGCTGGCTGATACTCAACCTGGATGGCTCAGTGGGTTAAGGGCCTGACACCTGATTTCAGCTGAGGTCAGGATCTCAGGGTTAGCTGGGCTAACCAGCACTTATCAGGGAGTTGGCTGCAGATTTTCTCTCTCTCTCTCTCTCTGCTCCTCCCCCCTCTTGTGCTTTCTATCACTCTCTCCCAAATAAATACATAAATCTTTTTTTTTTTTTTAAAGAATGATAAGAAAGGCTGCAGAGTTAAAGTGAAAGTCCAGTGAGTCATCATGACATCTCAGATTTCAAAATGATAATGAAAAAAGTGGAGAACAACTCATCCTCCAAAATATGCCGAACTCGGGGTGGGCGGGAATCTGTTGCCTTTAAAAAATGTTCCCTTGGAAAGTATTTCCAAGGACATCTTCTCTTACCCACTCATTGTGTTTCTTCTGAATATTTATGGCACAGGTATGGAATGAACGCTGTTTCATAGAGCATGAACATGATAACAGGCAGGAGCAATGAACCTGGCATCAGAGAACGTGTTGGTAAGGCAATGTCTGGTGCTTCGGGATTTCTGGACAACAGGGCTGGATGTCAATTTGGCTGTGACCGTGATGGTATCTGTGGGGTGCTGTCTACTAATGGACACGGTTCAGGGGCCAAGCCATGGACTACGGCTTATCTTCCTGGGTCTGTTTAGAGAGAGGGCGAGAGCTCAGAATTGTTAAGTAAATTATACATTTTTATTAAAGCAATAATCTTTGAAGAGTTTAAATACTATTTTCCATTTTGGATGTTATGTACCACCTGAAGGGACAGTCAGCACTTAGCATTGTGGGAAACCTCGGGGTGACCCATGGGTTTATGCTGTTGAATAAAGCTGCAAGAACCTCTAGGAGCTACAGTGAAGCACACATTTGCTCAAAATAATTTTTTAAGTGAAACTGTATTAGGAACTAGTTTCAGTCCCTTTCTGGCTCACATTGCCCATTTTTAAAAAGGGGTAGAGGCAATGTAGCCACAGCACGGATTTATCCATTTCCACACCAGCCCTGGGAAAACTCACACTCTGCGTTCTGTGTTCTCCAGAGAAGGACGAGCACCACTGTGATCCACAAAGCGTGACCACACAGCATTCCCATACTTTCATGTAACCACATACTTTCATGTAACACAGGTGGAAACACACGTGACCAGCCAGTCGGGCAAGTGACTGTAGCTCGGGTCACTGGGACCAGGGACTTATTCAAGTCTGCCCAGGGAAGTGCATTTTAAAGGAAACTTGCTGTAATGGGGTGTAAACAGTAGAGAGAGGAGCCCTGGTGACTTCCTACTCCTGCCCCCTACAAATACCAGTGACTATCTCCCTGTCAAGGAAGAGCCATGCATCATTTGTTTTCTCGTAAATGGCAGAATCAGAATCTACAACTGCCTTGGTGTAATAGAACAGGTCTTATCAGCTTCACATTCAGCATGATCCAATATCCTAGTAAAGCCTGCTTCAGCTTCACTTGAACTTGCTTGGACTTCTGAGGATCCAAGAAGCTAATTAGTACCATTTCATAAAAATTTCCTAATGGGGGGTCAGGGCTCGGATGGTTAAGAGTCTGCCTCTGTCTGATCTTCAGATCTTGGGACCCAGCCCTGTGTTGGGATTCCAGCTCAGTGGGAAGTCTGTTTCTCCCTCCCCTTCTGCCTGTCCCCCCTGTTTGTACTCTCTGTCTGTCTGTCTCTCTCTCTCTCTCTCAATTGAATAAATAAAATCTTAAAAAAAAAAAAAAAATCTCCCGACATCATATCTAGGGAGGGACTGTCACTTCCTTGTCAATTAAAGACAACAATAACCCAAATTGTTGAAACTTTTGTGCATATCCCGCTTTGATCCTGGGATAATTTGGTAGGTTGTCTTCATCATGTTGATGGTTTCCTTTTCTGTGCACCATACTTTTCAGTGCTCTGAGAACATGCACGTAAGCCCATTTTTAAAATTCAGTAGCTCCTCCCGGAATATTCTGGAGTGGATGACCATCACTCACACCTCACCAGCCCATATGAGAGCACCTGTGATCCTGCTCCTTCCCCAGCATCATTTTTTAGCTTAGCCAATCTGATGATTGAAATGCATTTTCACGTCCTCCAATGTGTTCAGTTTGCTCTGTCGATGGAAGACTCAGGTAGGAGGCAAAGTGATTCCAACTTAAGTAATCCTAGCAAGCTAAAAGGCTAGAGATCATATGCAGCAGAAGTATCCTCTGTGTAGTAAAAGGGACCACAAAAATCCTTCAGGTCTCACTGAACTGGCTTTATTTACCAAAATATTTATATTGGAACTTAAACTGCTTCTCTAGATACTAACATAAATATTAAGAAGGTTTCACTGTAAGCCTAGGAGAAATACAGAACCATTTGGAAGTTCTTATCGATTTCAGGGAATGTTCTATAATCTGGGTCTTGTGTCTGTCCTGTCCAGAGTTTGGGCAGGTCCTCAGCTGACCATCCTGGATTTGAATAAATGACACAGAGGCACAAATGTGCTCAGTGCTACCTGGGCTATTGAGTGAACACTCCCAGGTAAAACAAGGTTCTCAAACCTTGGCATTCATCACAGAAAAGGAAGGGTGATACACCCTGTGTTCTATCATTGGAGATTTTATAATGTATCAGATGAAGCACAAGGAAGAGGAAAACAGGAGTGGAATCCATCTCTGTGAGCATCAGTGTCATTACGAGGCATGTAAGAGTGCATTTCAGATGTCTGCCCAGCCAGCATAAATACATGGAAACATTGTGCTTTTCTTACAAAAAGATACATATTACATATAAATATGTAGATCAGTTTTTATAACTAAACAAGCAAAATGTTCCACCCTGAAAGCCCTATCTAAATTTCTTCAAAAGCTGCTATATATCTCAAATGTTTACTTTTCCCCATGTTTTATTTATGAAAAGCTCCCTTTTCTCCATCACTTGGCAAGCTCTGAAAGTCTCTGGCCTAAATTCAAATACATTTTCACCACCTCTTCTTTGCTTTAATAAAATCCATCCACAAGTGTGAGACCTGGTCTGATCTGTTTTCTGTCAAGTCACGGTCACCTTGCTCCACAAGCCTGGGTGGTGGGCCAGCCAGACCCAGGTCCTGCTGCCTGGCACAGTCAGAATGCAGCCCGATAACAGCCACAACCCAATACCTTCATTTACTGCTGAAAACCTCTAGCCAGGAGGAAGCAAGTGCCATCTGCTAAGAATCACAGGTCTGCATTTTGTTCTTTTAGGTTTGGGAACCATCAGAAAGTGATCTTAGTTGGACTCAGCTTGTCATAAACCGGGCAGTGGGGAGGTTTCAAAACAGAAAGTCACACAGGGATCTTTACGGTCTTGGCAACAAAGACCCCTGCTGGGCAC